GGAAATATTGCAACACAGCGCGGCCACTAGAACCCGCTCCTAAGCTGTTTTTGTTGTGTTTTGTTTTTTTTTTTTGCTTTTGGCGGCCAGCGCGGCGGGGGGGCGTTTTGACTCCCTTCGCCCGCCGCCTCGTCGCCTCCGCGAGGACGGCGTGTCGGCGCATTTCCCTTCAAATGCAGTTGTCTCTGCTGCTGCTATCTACATGAAGGCCGTCCCTATTCTTCGCCGCCGCTCTTCTCTTCTCTTTTTTTTCTTCACGCGAACACCCGCGCCCCACCTTTTTTTTCTTCTCCCCCCGCGCGTGCGTCTGCGGCAACACGCGTGGGGTGGAGGGCGCTCGTCAGTGCAGGACAGACTCGCCGGCGGGCTGCGGAGTTTGGAAGGGGGATTCAACTCCCTATTTCCTTCCTTTTGGCCTTTGTTTTGTTTACTTCTTCGTTTTCTGCCTTTGCTTCCTCTTCTTCACATCTGCAGGACCACGGTGTGACGCGAGGAGGCGAGGTAGTGATTGACCTGCCGCACCACCGCCGGCACCACCCGCGCGGCCTCCGTTTCGCTCCACCCAAGCAGCTGGAAGAGCAGCTGGCGCAAAACCTGCGCGTAGAGGGGCTTCAGGACGTCCGCGGGGATCGGCACGCCCCGCGCCTGCACCTCCTGCGGCTGCTCCACCCGCGCCCGCTCCCGCCGCCGCGCGCACGCCGCACACGCCTCGTCCATGAACGTCATGCACGCCTCCCGCGAGAAGCGCTTCAAAAACTGCCGCATCCCCTTTGGGATCGGCTTGGCGGGCGCGTTTGCGTCACTCGCCGTGGCGGGGGAGTGCAGCAGGGCAACGGTGCTGCCGCGCCCGTGCCGCCGGTGCGTCATCAGCCACTCATCCCGCTCGGTGCTCGGCCGCTGCGTTGCCCGGCCCGACTGGGAGGCCCGCGTGCTGGAGTGGCGGCGGCAGCCGTACGTCTGCCGCAGGTACTGCGCCACCTCGGCCTGCTCCTGCGGCACGAGCGCCGCGACGACACGGTCCACCTCCGCGTGCGGGCACGCCATGAGCACCGCGAGGTAGCGGTCAACGAGGGCTAGCTCCAGCGCCGCGGGCAGCTCCGGTGCCTTCATGACCAGCTGCGGAACACACGGCGCCGCGGCAGCCCGAGCCTCCCCATTCGGCAGGGCCCACCGGTACTCGCGCTCGCGCCGCCAAAACACGTCGTGAAAGGCTATCAACCGACCATTACCCGCCGTCTGCGCCTTCGGCTCGGCGGCCGGGGCAACGACGCACTCGCTCTCCCGTGCAAGGGGCCCCTGCTGGTGCACCACGCGCCGATAACCGCAGACGGACATGGAGCCCTGCCTCGCCCCGTTCAGGCTACCCGTCGCCACGGCTTTGCCGCCGTTCTCGGAGTTCTCTCTGTCCGCGGCTACATTCGGCTGCCACCGCTCGCGCGAGGCAGTGTCCCCCGCATGGGCCGAGGACGGAATGGCAGCAGGAGGATGGGGGGAGGGGGTGGCAGGGGAGCTTGTGCGTGGGCGGCTGCTCGCAACCTTGTGCGGGGAGCTGGACGGCAACACGGCCTCCGGCGATCGCCGGCCTTTGGGGAGCCGCAGCGCCAGCTCCCTCGCCGCGTCGCGAATAAGCTTTCCGTAGGCGCCATGCATCCCCTCACCGTAGGGGCGACCTCCACTCTTCGCTGAGGCCCCGCGCAGACGTTGCAGCCGCGGCGGCGCCGACCACTTGCCCAGCCCATTCTCCTGCGTCCCTTCCGAGGCGGCCCTCGCCCTCTGCCGCTCCAACGCCGACCCCCTGCCGCTCCTTGACACCCGCAAGAGTCGCGGCACGGCAACTGCCGGCGACGGTGCCCGACTCCGCGGCGCCTGCGCCGGTCTGCCCTCGATGCGCTTACGCCCTCCGTAGGGGCTCTGCCTGGCCCCCAGTTGCTGCGGCTGCGGCTGCTGCGGCGGCGCGTCACTCTGTGGCTCGGACATCGCAGCAGATGCTACTTCGTGCGCCGGCGGACGCTCCTTGGCGGGCGGCTGCTGCAGCTCCCCATCGCGGCAGGTGCATACTTCTTCCGTCAGCGCCGCCGTATCTGCCATGCCTGCGTTCGCCCCCTGTTTCCTCCTTGTCGCTGATGTTGCTTTAATTGTGTTGCTTCTGTGCTGCGGTCGCGGCACGCGTTGCCCCGCCCCGCGCGGTGCGGCGGCTACGGCTGTTGCTGCTGCGGGTGGCCCCGGTTTGCTATCCTGCCCGGCGCAGCGGCACGCTGCCCGCGCCTCCGCCTCCTCCTACTTGTGCCCGACGCCGCGATGCGTGTGTCCGGCGGCCTCGGCCTCCTCCTCGCGCGACCCCACCGTGTCTCCACCGCAGTGTGCACACGAGCCACCCGCGGAGTGAAGAAGGGGGAACGGGAGGGGAAAGAGGGGGGGGAATAAAAAAGCTCTCACACACACGCGCACTAAGAACAGAAAAAGAAGAGTAAAACTGGCTTCGGCCTTCCTCCTGCTTTTTGGTTTGTTTTGTCCCGCTCACTTCCGCTGCGGTGCTGCTTCTCGCTCCTTCGCTGCCGGGCGGGTGTGGGTGGGGCGGGAGAGACGCGGCGGAAAAAGGAAGACGAAAAAAAAAAACGAATGTATGCGCAGAAGGCGAGAAGAAAAAAAAACGGGGTGAAGGCGCTGGGGTGGCCACGACGGCCAACGAGGGAGCACAGACGCAGAGAGACGAAGAAATACAAATATGTGCACGCAGGCATCGGGGGAGTGGCTTCCCCCCCCCCCCCGATCGCCGCCGCTTTTTTGCTTCGTTGCCCGGGTGCCGCCGGCCTCCCTCCTCCGCTCGCTAGGCGATACGGTAGACAGAGAGAGAGAGAGAGAGAGGAGGGAGGCCGGCGGCACCGCATGAGATGTGGCGGGTACGTTACGGGAAAACAAAACGAAAGACAAACTAAACTTTGACTG